CAAATCCTTCATGTTTTACCAACACAAATCGATATACCAACTTAATTGATTTTACAAATTTAAGTGGATTGAACATAAAACAATTAAGTCATCTCCACAAAAATCTCAATAATTGTGATGTTTCAGCTCATTTTAAATAAGGTAAAAAAGTATAGTTTAGATATTGTTTTGATATCAGTGTGCCCACTGGGATGGTTCGTTAGTGGTAAAATGCCACTGGAAGTCGAACTCACTTACTAAAGAACAATTTAAAACAATTGTTTTTAAACCTAAAGTGTTAAAATATTAGAGATATGTGTAAATCATCCTGCCAGTTTCTAAAATGCAAGTTATGTTATCTTATGCAATGTTTTGACACTTAAAACATATACATAGCCTATTGAACCTATTCTGCAATGCGGAAGTGCACTTGTTTTTGCGATTCTTTTAGAACTTTCGATTCAGTTGCCTGTGGCAGAAATGACTAATAAACGTCAAAAAACTGTCAAACTAGTTGCTCTACAAACAAGTGTTTGCATAACCAGACAAAGTAAAATAATGTAATATGAATGTATTAGTTTGCGACAAGCAGCAAAACAAGCTGTTTTTAACATCTAAAAATGAATGGAGGTGAATGAGACCACGTCTCAAGCCAAAAAGATTCAAATGGCTGCGCCCGCTCGTACACGGAGAATAAGCTGAATAAATCAAATAAAAACATACAATGGTATAAAATGTATACATAATCATAATCAAGTGTAAAAATTAAGAAAAGTAAGAAATTCAGAAACAACTTTTGATATGGTTGCTAAAAATTTATATGCAAATGTAATTATACAAATTATCTGTTAGTATTTTTTGCATTTATAAACAGATAAATAAAACAAACAAAAAATGGCATGAATTATCACAAAAAATTAATTTTAAAAATTATTCTTTAAAATAAAATGATTTTATCACATTTAATGTGAAATAAATAAATGAAAGGTATGAATTGCAGTAAAAGTAACATTTAAATCTGTTAGTGTTACATAAGATTTCCTTATCTGTTACCTTATGCGTGACTGCAAAATTCCTGCTAGACTGAATTCTGGAATGTTCTTTGCTTGCTTGAATTGAGCTTAAAAAAGCAATTCATTTAACAAATTCATACTCTGAAAAAAGGTTCAAGATGATTCCTTGGATTTACTCATTTTTGAAGTGGTTGTAAATAATTTATTTAGGCTGAATTTATACAAATAAATTAAGCTCAACCCATCACTGTAAAGCATCCATACACTCTCATTGACACATACTGTATACACTACGGACAATTTAGCTTACCCAATTCACCTAGAGCACATGTCTTTGGACTGTGGGGGAAACCAGAGCACCTGGAGGAAATCCATGCAAACGCAGAGAAAACATGCAAATTCCACACCCAGGCGAGACACAAACCAGCAACCTTCTTGCTGTGAGGCGACATTGCTACCCACTACGCCACTGCGCTGCCTTAAGCTGAACATTACTATATTTAATTTGTTTGTTTAAATGTAACCCATATATGTTGTTTGCAACACTTTTGCAGAAATCTTTTTTTTTTCAGTGTCTGGTTTGTGACTCTTTTTGTGTATGGGCAGAATTTTAATGCAGTTGAATTTTTATTTATGTTTCGTTGAAACAGCTCTTCCGCTCAATCCCTGTGGGCATTGGACAGGTATACGGATGTGACAACGCTTGGACAGGGGGAATATTCATGATTGCTCTGTTCATCTCCTCACCCATAACATTTGCGCATGCAACTATTGGATCAGCAGTTGGTATGGTGTCAGGTAAGAAGAGGTCACAAGTCAATATTTAATTCTAAACATATCAAGCTTTAAAACATTGATGATTAAGGTGTAACTTTATTTTCAGGTCTAGCTCTTGCAGCCCCATTCAAAAACATCTACATGGGCCTGTGGGGCTATAACTGTGTTTTAGCCTGCATTGCCATTGGTGGGATGTTCTATGCTCTCACGTGGCAGACACATCTGCTGGCTGTGGCTTGTGGTAGGTTCAGATCTGATATTCCCTCTCCTTCCTTCCTGATTGTGTAACTAACTGCAGTTTCCTTTATCATTAAGGTGTGGTCACATTGCATTCACTGTGGTCAGATATTCAGGAAAAAAGTCCATTGTCTATTGTCAATAGTGTAGCAATGTAAATAAAAACACAGATCACTCTTAAAAATAAAGATCAATTAATGGTTGCATTAACAAACTGTAGCATACAAGTAAAAAAAGAAAAAAAAGAGAGTTATTTAGATGTTTTTCAAGTGTTTTGATTACATATCATTTTTATATTTTTAATGTAATTTTTTGTGATCATTTTGACAATTTGTGTTGATTTGGTTTTTATTGACCTTTTTCTTTTTTCACTTTTACTTACTGGAAGACTTTCATTAATAAATCCAGGTACGAAAAAAATCCTCTTAAGGCTTTTAGAACAAAATGTCCTATTGAAACCTATTAAAACAGAAATATATCATCCCAGTGCCATTTAAGCAAAATAAATAAATAAATAAATAAAAAATCCCAAGTTACATGTGAAGGAAGTTTCAGAAATGATACTGGATGCAACATAAAATTTCTAAAAACCTAAGTAGACAATTCAAACACAAAGAAGAGAAAGACATATACTAATATAGACGGGATCATACAATGAATTAAGGCAAAAGGGACAGTTTGAGTCGAAAAGAATAGCTGTGCAAGAACATCAAATAATTACATAAATGGAAATATGTAGATACATGAAACCTTTATCATATGCAATATAATAAATTTTACTGTCTCATCTTTCATTTATAAAACCAATTTTGGCATTACTGTAAGCAAAAAAAAATGTAATTTAAAGTGTTAACATTTTTCAGATGGTAGATGGTGAGGAATGATGCTGATTAAGAAATCTGTCAGTGAAAGTACAATAAAATGTAAAAGTCGGATAATTTTGTGATGATTTTTAGTCAAATTATTATTATTTTTTACATTTACTGTACACACAAACGTAAATAAACCTAAAAAAATTTTAGGCATTATTCCATGGAACATTTGTTTTTAAGAGTTCACTCTTCTTTCTTTTGATCAACATTCCAGATTCATAACTGTTTTAAACCAGCTTTAAAATGACTAAAATCCTTTAAATGCTCATGTTTATATGACTCCTATTGAACTAAAAGTTTTCCCAGAGATAGGTTGCGGCTGGAAGGGTATCCGTTGCGTAAAAATGTGCTGGACATGAATGAATGAATGAATGAATGAATGAATGAACTGACAGTCATACTGTTACACTGAGTAAAACAAAGGTTTTCCAAACTGACCAAGAATTATTGTTATTATAAAGAGTTATTGCCCAGCAGGAACACAATGTCATAAGATGATAATATTAGGTTAGATTAAGATTTCTAGGTTGTGATGTCAACTGACCAAAATTTAGTGAGTAGCCAGTGTCTAAGAGCAATGCTATTTTGATGTCCAATAACGACAACAAATAATGTTGATATTTGGTCAATTTTCAGTTGTTAGAAAGTGACCAAAATCCAAATGGGAACCAACATCTTAAACCAGCGTCATATTGACGTCAGATACTGACATTTATTTGTCAGTTATGGCAACCAAAATTCAATATCTGATAGACGTCATAGATGTAATGTTCACACAATGTCAAGCTGTAACATCATTAGACGTTGATATTTGGTTGGTGTAAGGTTGGACATTTAGGTTGGCCTGACATTGAGTTTTGACGTCAACCCAATTTTCATTTCCAAACAAAATGCAACGTCCCCATGACGTTAAGGTAAAACGTCAATCTGGCATCATGTTGACGTCTTGTGCCTGCTGGGTGTTTAAGGCCATGTCAGTCTTCATACAGTACAGTAAACATCTGTCACCTTCTCATTAGTGACATGCATCTACGTAAACAGTCTCTGGGTCAATGTATGTAAAGATTTTGGACATCTTCTTGGACACTTTTAATGCTTCCAAACTGTTTACTGCAATTATAAATCGCCCATGTCTTGGGGTAGATCGTTATGATGCAATTTACCTTCTATGTGTGATTTGATTGGACAGGAATTAGATTTTTCTAATCCCCATAGACAAGAAAAAAAAAGTAGTGACTGCAGGTTGATCTACAGATACTACACAAAAAATGTGCTCAAGGGAGAGTGAAAGTACACAAATTAAAAACTACTTAGTAAATTATAATTTCTGAGAAAAACGACTCAATTACAGTCATTTAAATATTTGTAATTAGTTATTTTACACCACTGGCAATTATAAGTAAAATTGTTTTTACAACAAATTATAAGCAAATCCCTAACATTCTTGTTTGTTTTTCATAGCATTTTTCTGTGCATACCTTGGCTCTGCAATTGGAAATGTGATGTCTAATGTACGTATTTTAAACCTTGAAAACATCAAATATTCAGAATTTTTTTTTTTTTAAAACATAGATTTTAATACATTTGACATATTTTAACAGTTTGGACTCCCAGCATGCACCTGGCCCTTCTGTCTCTCTGCCCTCACTTTCCTGTTGATCACAACGGAAACCAAATTCATCCATAAACTGCCTCTCGCTAAAGTTGCCTACCCTGAACAAAACCTGAGATACTACTGGAAAATGAAGAAAGAGGAGAAAACACAGAAGGGAATTCAGGCCAAAGACACAGAATCACAGCTGGAGAAAGAGCAAATATCCATTTCAATGGAAAAGAAAGATCTGGATATTTGCACGGTGGATGTTCAGCAAGAGGAAAACACACTATGAGTAGATCAGATAGGACCTCAGAGGAAACTCAAATTCATTTACCTCAATTACATGTTTCCCTCACATGATGTTTGAAAATTCCTCACAATAATAGCTAAGAGACACTGTTTTGGACATTGCCCTCAATGCACTACTTTCAAAAGGTCTGACAAACACTTTTACTAGCAGAAATGCAAAAACAAAATATTATTAAAACGCCTATATTCATGAATGTGCGTAAGCCAAAATGCAAGAACACAAAAAAGTGCTCTGAACACACACACACACTTTTTCTTCTGAAATCTAAACCTTAAAAATTGTCATCAATAAGTGTGATGACTCATAAATATATTATTTTGACTTTTTAAGTCATATGAGTTGTTTAAAGTCACTGTAATGCTAGACTTGTAAGGTTAATTTGAAAGCAAACCCCAAATATTCACACTGTAAACAAATTTTACCCTTTGCCATTCTCAAGTAAAGGGTTTTAAAGTTGACTGGTAACTCGATTCTTTAGGTGGCGTTTGCTAAAGGTTGAAGATCTAAAAGCATTCTGCTGCACACAATTTCAAGATCATTTGCAATTCATAGATTGCATAAATGTAAGAATACATTTCTGTATAAAACAGTCAGTGCCTTAAATTAAGTTGAATCAGATTAACTTTACAAGTCTTTTCAATTTATGTTGCATAACAACATCACTTAACATCACATTAAAACAACATAAAAAACTTTTTTTCCATAACATTGATAATTCATATTTTTTTCTTTGAATCACAAAATGATCTTAGATCAAATATAAAACATTCCTGCAGCATGCAGAATTTTTAAAATGCAGCATTTTGTAAAAGTCCCTATTTCTAAATACTTTAGCAGAATGCGCACCTACACAACAAGAATGCAAAAGACTTCATTTTGATATTTAGCTGTCAAAACAACTTGTTATGCGTCACAATTCAAATATCCAAGCCTACGTCACTTTTTGCTTCCAGCTAAGGAGAAAGATTAAAGCATGCCAAATGAAAATGTCAAATGTCAAAAAGACAAAAGGTGCAGTTTGTTTTGTAACTGTTCATAATGTGTAATAGATGTGTTGAATAGAGAACCTGCTCTATTTCAGTGTTTTCACCTGTAACAAATGAGTGTTATATTTTTTAAAAAGGCTTTTATAAATCCCAATAAATTTATATTTTTTACATTAAAGTTACACTGGTGTATTTCTTTTGAATCAATAACCATTACACCCATTTAGAACATATATTTACTTAAACTTGACATTGCAGACAATACAAACAAAAATGTTTTGCCTGGTCAACTTTATATCATTTGTAAATATACATCCTTTTCTGTCATTCAGACCTGCAAAGCATTTCAAAAAAGTCAGGACAGGAGCGATTTAAGGCTAGACTCAAGTAAGTTGGTTAAATAATGATGTGATTTAAAAAAGGTGATGTCAACAGGTCATTGTAATTATGATTTGGTACAAAAACAGCATCCAAGAAAAGACTGTGAGAAAACTATTGAAATGTTGAAAAACAATGTTTTTCAAAGAAAAATACAGTAGGAAGACATTTAGATATTTCATCTTCCACAGTACATAACAAAATTAAAATTTAATAAATCTGGAGGAATTTCAGTGCATAAAGGACAAGGACGCAACCTAAGGTCAGCAACCATGATCTTCGATCCCTCAGGTGGCACTGAATCAAGAATCATCATTCATCTGTAAGCGATATCACCACATGGGCTCGGGACTACTGCAGCAAACCTCTGTCAAGTACCACAATATGTAGTTACATCCACAAATGGCAGTTTAAACTACACTGTGTCAAAAGAAAGCCCTATGTTAACATTGTCCGTAACCGCGTCAACTTCATTGGGCTTGGTGACATCTGGAATGGAGCATCCCACAGTGGAAATGTGTATTATGGTCAGATGAATCAGTATGTGTGCTCTGGATCGAAGAAGAAAAGGATCATCCTGGTTGTTGAGGAAGATGATAAAGGTACTTATTTGGCCTGCTTGCAGTTCCTACCTGTGTCCAATAGAGAACGTGTGGCACATTTTGAAGCGCAAAATGTGACAAGATCCCACACTGTTGCCCACCTTAAAACTTGTTTGTCTTTTATGTGTTATTAAGTGTCATTAAAACCAATGTTTGGGATTGGCACGAGAGACCAAAGGTTTGACTAATTTTAGACTACATATACTTTATTGCCAGGATTCCAATACTTTTTTAATCCTATTCTTTGCACATCCCTTACTATTCTTCATCATAAAACATAATAATGCTGTAATATTGAGATGTGAGGTCATGAAACAATAGAATAGACATTCAGTTACATTAGTCTTTTTTTGACTAATGCAATGAGTGTCCTTGAAAGTCCTGTTTGCAATCACACTATAGCCCGGAACTGGTGTCCTGATGTTGAACTCTATGCCTGCATACCGGACTGTCAGTCTGTCATGTAAGGTTCATTGTGAGGCGTCAACAGAAGCAGAATCATCTCCTATTAAAAAGCTCCATTTTATTAGATACCATCAGCCATCTGAAGATTTAAATCTCTCACATGAGACTCCACAGATCTCAGATATAAAATTCTTATGCAACAGGCACTCTGGTTTGATCTTAACCTACTGTTTAGAACAAAATCTCTTTTGCATTAAATGTCAATATAAATGATATTATGTGCATTAGTGTTTCCCCCTGCAATATTCAGCAGTTTCTTTTGAAGAGCAACACTTGTACTTGAAAAGCATGGCAATTGCGTGTCTATAAATGTCATCTGGAGATTATCTTTGCTGGCAGTTTACATTTTTGATGAGTGATAATGAAAAATGGGACAGTTTGTTCTGCATTCCAAAAGAGTAATGTACCATATAACCTAGAAGTTACTGTGATCCCATTTTCTTATCATACTCTGTAATAATTGTATGTGGTGGACAAATTATTAGAATACTTGGTATACTTTGATTGTTTCAGATGTTTTTGTAGAACTGTCCATTACAATACTTAAATTTGGGCCTAAGATAGACCTATTTCACTGTCAGTGCCACAATCATGTTTCTCATTTAAATGAAAGTCTTTGGTTTCAGTTGATATAAGTTTAAAGAAATCCAGTTGAACTTAAAATTTTTTACTATTATTGGCTTTGAAAATTTGATTCTTTGCCAAATATTTCCCAAGTTATGTTTAACAGAGCATATATATTTTAAAAGCATTGCCTATAAGATTTGTTTAAGTTTTCCAAATATAATTTTTAAAGTCAATATTACCAGTCCCGTTAAGACATTCATTTATTCATTCATTCATTCATTCATTCATTCATTCATTCATTCGTTCATTTTCTTTTCGGCTTAGTCCATTTATTAATTCGGGGTTGCCACAGTGTAATGAACCGCCAACTTATCCAGCACCTTTTTACGCAGCGGATGTCCTTCCAGCCGCAACCCATCTCCGGTAAACATCCACACACACTCATACACAACTGACAATTTAGCCAGAGCACTTGGAGGAAACCCACGCGAACCCAGGGAGAACATGCAAACTTCACACAGAAACACCATCTGACCAAGCCGAGGCTCAAACCACCAACCTTCTTGCTGTGAGGCGACAGCACTACCTTCTGCGCCACTGCGTCGCTCGTTAAGACATTATTATTATTATTATTATTATTATTATTATTATTATTATTCAAATTCCCTCACAGAACAAACCACTGTTGTCCCATAACTTGCCTAGTTATTAACCTAGTTAAATTGCTCTTTAAGCTGAATATTAGCATCTTGCAGCATAACTAGTACTGTAAATATTAAGTACTGTCATCATGGCAATAACAAAATAAATTAGCTGTTAAAGTAATAAAAACTATTATGTTTAAAATATGTTGAAGAAATAAAAATCTCCATTAAAAAGCACACTTGACAACACACATGAGAAGTGGACAGGTGGTTTGTCAGACCCACTCATCTATGTGAAGCACATTTTATAAATGCACATTGTTTTTTAAAATGTTTATATATATATATATATATATATATATATATATAATTTTATTTTTTTTGCTCATGCTTGGTTTAGTGTATAGCAGGCGTGACCAACCCTGTTCCTGGAGGTCGACCTTCCTGCAGATTTCAGTTGCAACCCATATCAAACACACCTGCCTGTATTTATCAAGTGTTGTTCAGGTCCTAATTAATTAGTTCAGGAGTGTTTGATCAGGGTTGAAGCTGAATTTTGCAGGAAGGTCGATTTCCAGGAAAAGGGTTTAGCACCACTGATGTAGAATATATAATATATAATATTTATCTTCAGATGAAGATGATGAAAGAGAAAAAAACCCAAAAGGCTACTTCACAATGCAAGAGTGCAGAACATTTTTCAATTCAATTCAATTCAATTCAATTCAATTCAATTCAATTCATCTTTATTTCTTTAGCGCTTTTACAATGTATATTGTGTCAAAGCAGCTTAACATAGAAGATTATAGTAGATCGAAACAGTGTCAATTCAGTTTTCAGAGTTTTAGTTCAGTTTATTTCAGTTCAGTGTGGTTTAATTTTCACTGCTGAAAGATCAAACACTGAAGAGTAAATCCATTATCCATTGATGCGCAGCTCCACGAGTCCCGAACCATGCAAGCCAGTGGCGACAGTGGTGAGGAACAAATTTCACCAATTGAAAAAATTAAAGAAAAAAAAAATCTTGAGAGAAACCAGGCTCAGATGGACACAACCATTTCTCCTATGGCTGGAGAACGCTGGACTTCCATCGTGGAGAAGCTGCAAGTGGGAGAGGTCACAGGTTGGTGTACAGGCTGGCCCTTCAGGATCAATGTGAGGACTCATCTGTCACAGGGGTATTACAGAAGTCAGTCTCATGCTCTCCGCTCCTCCATGACCACCAGCAGCAGCTTCTCAGAAGACGGCCTGGTCCAGGATTATGGAAACCTTGGGGAATAATAAAAACAGACAAACATAAATGCAGATGTCGTTCAAACTATATATACTATATACTATATATACTATGTCTTTAGGGAAGTGTTCCCGGCTCCGGTTGCCCTAAATAATGCAGACTAACAATCCTTTAAAGGATTTGGATTTCAAAAGCATTTGTGTTTTATGTGTATGCAACAGGGCAACCACCTAGTAACGCATTACAATAGTCTAACCAAGAGGTCATTAAAGCATGAATAAGCTTTTTGGCTTCTGACATTGATAGCATATGTCCAAGTTTAACAACATTTTGAAGATGAAAAAATGGTAACACTTTACAATAACAGTACATGAATAATGATGTATTAATATGTAAACTAAACATTACTTTATTATGAATAAATGATGAGTTAAGGTATGCACTAATCATGAATTAACTTTAAGTACAACATGAGTCACATGTGTACATGTGTACACACACAGGAGTTCATGTGTAAATAACAACTACCTTAATTACTTGTTAGTACATGTTGTTAATTAATGTATTAATTAACATTTAAGTTTAGGCTAAATGTAACCAACATGAACTCATGAGCTGTTAATGTATAGTTATGTCATGACTTTACTAGGAGAGGCACATCACTATTAACTCATCCTTAACTACTTATGAACTCCTCTTCATGTTGATGTTGACAGAACACTTTTCTATTGTTATTCAGTGTAAACTCACTAGTTGGACGTGCATAAGGAGTTCATGAGTAGTTAAGAATCGGTTAATGATGATGTGCCCCTCCAAAGTAAAGTCACAACATAATTATACATTAACATATCATGAGTTCATCATGGTTAAATTAAGCATAAACTAATGTGGTAATTAATACATTTATTAACAAACAATCATGAACTAACAAGTAATTAAGGTAGCCATTATTCACACATGAACTCATGTGAATAATGTTGTAGTTAAAGTTAATTCATAATTAGTGCATACCTTAACTCATCATTAATTCATAATAAAGTAATGTTTAGTTTACATATTAATACATCATTATTCATGTACTGTTATTTTAAAGTGTTACAGAAAAAATGCAGTTTTACAGATGCTTGAAATCTGGCCTTCAAACGACAGGTTGCTATCAAAAATCACCCCAAAAGTTTTGACTGAAGACGAGGACTGCACTAAAAAACCATCAACAGTCAGACAATATTTTAGGTTTTTGTGTCAGAGGTTTTTGGGTCCAATAAGCAAGACCTCAGTT